CCTGTTTACCGCACCTTGCTGCGGGTACGGTGTGGCGAAGGGCGAAATCGTGGCTTGTGCGTGGAGTTGGGCCGCGGCATTCGACTGCCCGGCTCCAACTGGTGGTACTTGCTGGGCCGCCATGGATGGGTCAAAGATTGGCTGCGACCACATCATGGCAGCTTGGATTGGTGCTTGGTTTGTTCCGAAGCCTGGGGTTGGAACTTGCTGCCAAACGGTTGGCACCTGAGCAGTGTTGCCGAAGTCGAACTACTGTCCTTGACTCCACGGCGAAGGTCCCGAGCCTGGCTGAATCGGTGGCAACCAATTAGGCGCACCTTGACTTGTATTCCCCACCGGGTGAGCCGATGGGGTTGTACTTGAAATGTAGTGGGGTTGGTTGAGTTGCTGAAGGAAAGCTTGGAGTTGCGCCTGCAGAGCCGAAGCCCCTTCCGCCACTGTTTGTGTCGCTTGGCCAGGTGGTTGATGCTGCCCGACGAAGTACACCGGCGGCTGTGCGGCTAGTGGCGGAGAGGGCTGGGTCACCACTTGCGGCCGGACTTGAGAAGGGGCATAGCCTGCCGAATACTGAAGGATTGGAGCCGACGTGGCCTTGGTCCGCCTTGTCGCCTCGTATGCTTGTTGTTGTTCTAGCATTTGGCAAAGCATGTCTTGGAGCCGTGTCATGTTCTGCCGCATGGCTTCCATGTCGGCTTCGGCTTGCGCTTCGGGGTCCAGGCTGATTTGGGCCTGTACAACGGCGAGCGCAGTTGGCGCCGCCGGCTGTGATGGGGCGGCTTGAGGCACCACCAGTTGGTTTGTCGAAAGGATCTCCGCCCTGGTCTGGAGTGCTCTTGCCGCCGCAGCCGCCTTCGCCACGTCGGCCGTGTTCGGCACTTGCACTGAGGTTGCGGGGGCCGAAGACGGTTGTGATGGCGCGGGGGCCGAGGGCGACTGTGATGGCGCTTGTCCTTCTACATCTTCGGTCACGGACGCCGAAGGCTCTGCTCCTTCCTCGGCGGCCATGTCCGGTCCGGCGTCGCTCTCCTTCCACCTGACGACCTTCTCCTTCACGACCCTCTTCAGTGGCATTCGCTCTCAGTGGTTTCGTTCGGACTCCCCATGGTCGGCGCCAGCTGTTGTCGAAACGACAACTGCGTACGTCGAAGGACGTGGTTACTCAACAGTGGTTGGGAAAATGAAGTGTACTAAATTTTGAATTTCACTTGGGATCCCCCGTTACATGGCCTAGGGGGCTATTTATAGCCCTATTGCAGGCTCTTACTACTAGGATCTAGGTTGTACAGGGGAATTTACATGATTACCCTTATGAAAGGGACATTTACAGGGGTACATAATGTTATAGGGTCTCATGGGCCCCTGATGGGCCGTCTAGTGATCACCGGCCCTTAGGCTTGATGGGCCGGAAAGGCTTCCTCGGCCCTTGCGGGGGCGAACTTGCCATGGCGAAGTCGTCTTCCTTCGGCAGATAGTCTTCGCCTTGCACCCTTCGCCCGAGACGCCCCTGGCTTGGCAAGGCCCTCGCGCGACTCTTCGCCTCACGCCGTTCTTGCTCCATAGCCTTCGCCACGGGTTTCGGCAGATCTGGTCGAAGAGCCTCATGCCATCCGCCAACAAACGTGATTTTAGAAACATTTAGAAAAAAATAATCTAATTTGGAGTTTATATAAGTGCGGTAAACTTGTTTTAAATTTTATTTTAATATACAGCTCCTTAAGACGCCCGTATGTAAAAATGAGTTTATTTTTGCATGCGGACCTTTTAAGAGGCCCGTATGAAAAAATCAATTTCTTAATCAAAATTAGCTAACTATTGCAAGAAGAGGAATAAGTCTATTTTCCCTCGCTAATGTCTTACTCTTGATTGAATCCTCTCCCTCAACCACAAAATTGGATATAAGAAAATTACTAACACTAAAATTTAGAAATGTTGATATGTTCTATTAGAAAAAATAACGAGCTATATCTCTTCCTTGATTTGAGAATCTCGGTTTGAGGGGTTTTTTACTTTGATATTTATTTGTTACCGTATTCGTTCCGTTTCGTATTCGCTCCGTATATGTATTCGACAATATTCGATTCCGTTTTCGTATCCGGAGTTTCCGATTTCGATTCCGATTCCAAAAAGAAAATATGAAAATGAATATGGTAGAGCTAGTTTCCATCCGTATCCGTTTTCATCTCCAATGACATCGATCGATCGGTAGCCAGATTTGGCTCCTTTTTCTTGTGCGCGCGCGGGGGATCTTGTTGTCGAGTCGGATCCGCTCACTTTTGATGGGCCATATGACCATTTGGGCCAGAGTAGGAAGGCCCATTTTGGAAGAAAGTTACACCTCTATTTGGACCAAATATTCTACTACTATATACTACGGTGTATACGCATGCACAGTGTACGTATACCTTATGCGTAGTTTTAGCCTTAGAATTACTTTATGCGTCTACTTTGCCATTTTAGTTTTTTTAAAAAAAAAATCTTATGTGTTCCGTGAACTAGCAAATGTATGTGAGTTTGAATGGCAAGTGGAGGTTCGCTGCTGGTTTGTGAAAACGCTAGGGGATTAATTAATATTGCCAAGTTTTAATAGGATTTCTTATATATTTATCAAAGTTTGGTAAGAAACTAAATGGATGCACATCTTTAATAACTTTTATGAAAAAATGATATGGTTTAAAATAACATAAATATGGACAACCCTTAGTTGTTAATTTTATTCACCTCATATATAAAAAAAATCTAGATAACGGCTGTAGGAATAGGATAACTTGAAAGGTATATGTTATTTCCATCAAAACGGTTGGACAGGCATGCGGCACGATTTCCTACTAAGCGGTAGGCGGCGGCGGGCGGTCGGCTGCGCCCTCCCCTCTGCCAGAGGGAAGGCGGGAGGCGGCAGCGGCAGCGGTGGATTTTGTTTGTTCTTTTTTTTTAGAATTTGTGATTCATGGTATGGATCTGAGATATATAATCTGTGATGTATTTGATTTGTGATGTATTTTTTTGGAGAATTTTTTATATGAACTTATGATTTGTGATGTTACTTTGATTTTAGGATATGTAGGGCACTCGATTTGGGAAAATCATGTAGGGATCAACTCGAAGGAAAAATCAAAATGCAAGCAGCAAAGAAACAATGAAAAAAAAAGAAAAAAATGATGACCAACCGGGACTGCCACTACCATCTTTAGTCATGATTGGTAAACATCTAACTTTAGTCCCGGTTATTTCACCCGGGACTAAAGATGGACGACCATCTTTAGTCCCGGGTTGCATTTAGTCTCGGTTTGTAATATAGGACTAAAGGGGTTGTAAACCAGGACTAAAGAAGAGTTTTCCGGGAGTGAAAGTAAACGATCAAATATATTATTTGAATGTATAGCAATGCATTGGATTTTCAGATGGACCAAGCGGCTAGTAAATTAATCAGACAAAAGTATAAACGTGATTTTTTTATCATTATTTGAACCTTTTTAATTTTTAATTTTAAAATAAACCATCTCAAAACTTATTACCAAAATCTAAAACTTTTGGTGTAACAAAACAATACTGCCACCAGCGGGTGTGGCAGTTTGCCATGACAACGCCATGCTGTTACATTAGCTATACCGATGTGGCCAAATAACATTGCTACGTCATCCACATCGATATGGGAGTATTATTTTACCACGCCAGCCTATCTTATACTGTGGTAGTGTTGTTTTGTCATGTTAGTCTGACTGGCGTAGCTAATGTTTCTGATTTTGAAAATTAGTTTTAGAAAAATTTATTTTAAATTAAAAATTTAAAAGGTTCAAAAAGTAAAAGAAGTTCTAGAAACATGTTGTAGACACAAAATTAACACGCGTTATTGATTGCTTCAATTTCATATCTAGCGCCAACATGGCAGCATGATTAATGACGCATTTTCCTTAATCCCCTTTGGCAACTTAATTATATCCAACTAAAGGATAAAATTCAAGTGAGGAACGAGGATCCCCAAAACTTAGCGAAGAAAATTATCACCAGTTATTTCTTTTTAATAATGAAAATGTATTACATCTCTGCCATCTGTCATAAGGCATGCAACCAATTAGTTCTTATTAAAATAAATAAAATGAGTTGTGGGACAAATCTCCAGTTACCTTGAAAAATAAAAGCAGATGACACACTAAAATGATCACCAGTTAATTAATTACTAGAGAATGGAACAATATATACCTCCAAAATTATAGTACGTCGTGTTAAATTATACAAAGACATACATGTGCTCCATGTGCCACACTAGTTGGGAGCTGCTTCTTTTTTTATTTATTTCTTGTGAAGACTGAGCTGATAGATTAATTAGTCCTCTTATTTTGTTTATTTCAGTTTAATCAAGGATTAATGACTCTTCAGCCTTGCAAAGGCCATCATATCGAATTAATGACCCATACTATTTTTAATCGCAAAAAAATGTGAAAGGAATGATCGATCGATATCAATAAAACTTAAGGTTTTTGTATACCATTTCAGATGAGCTGCCACGTGCTACCTTGCTACTGTAGAAACTACAGTCCTTGCATGCTATCCACACCGTTCGATTGTGGCTGCAAGCATCTCTGCCCTTGAGCGTGTCTTCCCAGGGAGCCTCGGCTGCTCTCCAGGGGACCCCCATTTTTTTCCCCATCGGTTGATTCATCCCCCAGCTTCTCTATTTGCACGCAGTTCACACGCTTCCTCCGTCGATCCATCCAGCGCCGCCGGTGGCATCGCCGCCTCCCTTGCCCAGTGTGTTCTTGCGTCTTCTTTGGCTTAGCTGTGGACGGCCGTGGTCTTCTGCTCGGTGGCTTCGTCTCCACCATCTCCATTCCATCCGTCAGAGGCTGTCGCCGTCCGCGAGTAGCAGCAGCCTCTCCTCTCCCAGTGACAGTCCAGTTGCGCCACCACCGACGACCTTTTGCCTTACCGGTTGGTTCTCCGGTGCCCATTGCCATCGTGTGCGGGAGCAATGCCCTCTTTTTCCCACGGCAGTCCAGGCAAGAAAATCCTTCTATCCCCATTGTTGTACAGAAGAAACCCTTAGGCCTTTAGAAATGTCGTTCTTTGATTTATTATGTACCATTGTGACAGATTCCCTTAACCTGTATTTTTAATGGTGCAAGTTACTTATTATCAAGCATGTGATTCAATAATCCCTACTGATTAAGCATTTAATTGAATTTAGCCTGCTACAGTGGTTATGGGATGGTTGCCTGCTGCCCCCAAGTCCACGACATACACATATTAAAGTTGTCCATATTTAGGTTCATGCTTAGCTTTCCATAATACTCCATTGTGTACTCATCTGCTTGCTTTATGATTTTGTTTTGCCATTTTGTATAAATATCTAGGAGTGGTTTGGTGATGGGGATGGATGCGGTGCCTGACACTCTAACACCAACACCATTTTCTCAGCTAACTTAGGGACAAATGAGACAGAGAACAGGCCAGGTGCTACTCCTACACATTATTCGGCATATTCAACTTTCTTTGCTTTTTCTCAATTCTCAACTACAGTTTTCTTATGTTGAGCGGAAAACTTATTGATGATTTATTTCTTTGTGTTCTAAGTGCTCCTAGCAGTGAAAGCTCTAACCATACCATATCTTTTATCTCAACTCCTGAAATAGGAATCTCCATGTCAGTGTTTTGTCGTCCATTTCAACGACCCGTTAACAGGAGGCTTGCATTTAACCCTATCAATCCTGCTACTCCAATAGATCAACATTTTGTCTCCTCATCAGATGGCCCAACAGTGCCAGGTGTTCAGTCCCTTCCTGCAGTGCGCGGTAAAGGTAAGCCCCTCTATTAAGAATTAATCTCTATTTGATTGTGCTCAAGCTTGCTATACTACCATTGTATCATTTTAGATTCATAAATGCCAGTTCAGGTACCTGTGCCATAGTTGTACATATTTGTTCCTTTGTGTCTGCTCATATAAATTTGGATGCTTCTCACATTGGCATAGGTCCTTTGGATAATATTGGTTTGAGACTGCCTCGACCAGATCCATCTATTGCTACGGAAGCACGCAAGAAGCGTAAAGTCACAATGGTTTTAAGGAGAGGACATAAGTTACCCATATCCAATATTTTCTCCTTCAACTAACTGGCTTATTTGTTGCTTCCATTGGTTCCTACATTTCTATTTGATTTCGTTCAGCAAGTGCTGATTCGACCAATCTATAGCTCCTCAATTTGTGATTGTTACATTAGGAGCTGGACCTGATGATTTCTCATCTTCATATCGATGTGTTCAACGATGTATTTCCCCACAAGTTAATGCCAGGCATTGTGATGTGCGGATAGCCAGGAATAATGGGATGAGTACTACTATTGGCGCTTCTCCTTCATCTCACATTGCCCAAAATGACACCTCCTTGCATAGGGTGAATACATGTCAACGAAGCCGTGTAGGGCGGTCCAGAGCTGATGGTACCTTATTTAGTTTGCTATGATTTTTCCTTATTTTTACCTGTTTGGGAATATGTGATTACATTTGGCATTTTCTGCTTTCTAGGAAATTTTGTACCCCTTCTTGCCAGTCGACATCGCCGTAAGTTCTTTTCTTGCACATGCTTTGATGCACTAAATTTATACATAACATCTGCATGCTCAAGACTTATAGGGGTGTTCCCTTATTATTACCAGCTGATCATGATGCTGCTCGATATTCAGGCTCAACCTCCACAGTTCATGTTCCGAAGTAATTTTTGCTGCTCAACACTAATGTTCTATCTCGATGATCGTAAAGCTTCTCGACAATAATACTCCACCCAATGATCTTTTTTCTATGGTGAAACCACTTAACCATGTTCTAATTTATATTATATCATCCTTTTACAAGATTTTCCATTCTAATTTTTCTCTTATTCCTTTCTATTAGGTACTATTTTCACACCTCTCAATTTAGGAGGCCCTACCCATACTTGCCAACATTGTGGTGCTCGATTCTGGTATGAGGAACGCGTACGTGGGTGTGGACGAACAGCTTTGCAAATTTACAACAAATGCTGTAGAGGAGGGAGCATTTATTTGCCTCCATATAGGCCACCACCAGAACCTTTGCTCTCTCGTTTAACTGGACGAGATCGTGTTTTGTCCAACCACTTCTTTGAAAACATCAGACGATACAATTCTATGTTTGCTATGACATCTATGGGTGTAAATATCATCAACTCAATTAATGATGGTCATGGCCCTTACATTTTCAAGATTAGTGGGCAGCTATGCCACCGAATTGGATCGCTTATTCCAAAGCATGGTGCAAGACCAGAATATTGTCAATTATACATATTTGACACTGAGAATGAAATAAGAAATAGAGTGGCTGTTGCTTCACATAGAGAGATGAGTTTTGAACCAAATGAGGATATTGTTGCATCTTTGATGACCATGCTCAATGCACACAACCCAGTTGTTCAGCTCTTTCGAACTGCTCGTGATAGGCTGCATGATCAGTTAGAGGATCATTACTCAGTGAAGTTATTTGCCACCCCCAATGAACATGGTAATATCTACTCAGCCCCAGTTGCATCAGAGGTGGTTGGTTTGATGGTTAATGATATAGGCACTACCGAGAAAGGTCGTGACTTAATAGTAGAGGATCACTCATTGCAGCTTCAAAGGGTAAATGAAACTCATTGCAAATTTATGGCAATGCAATACCCGCTATTGTTTCCTTATGGAGAGGATGGTTTTCATGAAAATCTCAAGTATAGACAATGTCACCGCTCAGGAATGATCAAACGGAAGAAAGTTAGTTTGGTAGAATACTTTGCATATAGATTGCATGATAGAGATGATGACTTCAACACCCCATTGCGTGCAAGAGCTCACACAGTCATATGAGGTTGATGGTTTTTGTTGTGTCAAGGATAGCCGCTTGAACCATTATAGGAAAAAAAAAACTTTTCAGCTGAAGTATAGGAGTAGCCCCTATAAAGCTTTACTTGATACAGTCAGTAGCGGCATTATTGATGCTTCATCGGTAGGCCAGAGGATTATTTTGCCAGGTTCATTCACTGGAAGTCCACGCTATTACTACCAAAATTACCAAGATTGTGTGGCTCTCTGTCGTAGATTTGGATGCCCGGATCTTTTCATCACTTACACGTGTAATGCTGCTTGGCCAGAGATAACAGAAGCTTTAGCATTTATACCAGGACAACAACCTTCTGATCGGCCCGATATTGTTGATCGAGTTTTTGAAATGAAGCTCAAGCTGTTTGTTGATGATATAAAAAAAATATGAGTTCTTTGGTCCCATACTCGGAAGTTAGCTCGTTTAATTACTATGTTTTAATTCTTATGTTTTAATATGAGTTCTTATGTTTTAATTACTATGTTTTGTTTCAGTTTTGTTTACCTCAATATTTTTTTTCAGTTGTCTACACGATTGAATTTCAGAAACATGGTCTTCCGCATGTCCACTTGATAGTGTGGCTTAAAAAGGATAGACCCCTTGATGCCGATCAGATAGACACTTTCATATCAGCGCAGTTACCAGACCCATCTATTGACCCTATTGGTTATGAGGCTGTCTCACAATTCATGATTCATGGTCCTTGCAATATTCCAGGTTCCTCTTCTCCTTGCATGGCTGATGGTAAATGCACTAAATTCTATCCCAAGGAATTTTCTGACAAAACAGTTGTGCTACCTAATGGCCATGTTAGGTATGCTCGACCAAATAATGGAATCATACAAAGAAACGTGGCATTGAGATTGATAATCAATTTGTGGTTCCACATAATGTAGACTTATTAGTTAAGTATCAGGCACACATAAATGTGGAAAGTGTTAATCGTGATGGTATGGAGAAATACATGTTTAAGTATACAAACAAGGGCCCTGATTTTGCTAAAGTTGGAATCAAAAGAAAAAGATACCCCCGGTTCTTCTACAGAGGAAATAAATGAAATAAAGGAATACCTTGAATGTAGATGTGTTACACCACATGATGCAGCTTGGCGGCTTTTGCAATTTGATATCCATCACACCGATCCAGCCGTGGAACGTCTTCCAGTGCATCTCCCACTAGAAAATGGTGTTGTATTTACTGAGGATGACCATCTTCACCAGGTGATTGATAATCCATGCAATCTCATAACAAAATTGACTGCATGGTTTGAGGCAAACAAGACATATCCAGAGGCTCGACAACACACATTTGTAGAGTTCCCTGAACATTGGACATGGCATGGTGATGGAAAATTTTGGAAACCGCGTCGTAATGCCCGTGGAAAGGTTGGCCGTATAGCCAATGTTAGTCCTAACCAAGGAGAAAGATTTTATCTGCGTATGCTATTGCATATTATAAAAGGGGCACAAGACTTTTCTGATCTTCACACCATGGCTGGCCAACTATACCCAACATTTCGTGCTGCATGTCAAGCATTAGGTTTACTTGGTGATGATTGTGAGTGGTCCAATGCTATGGCTGATGCAGCACAATGGGCATTACCATACCAACTTCGCCAGCTATTTGTCACATTACTTCTTTTTTGTGAAGTCACTGTAGCGCCCGTTCCGTCGTGGCGCCTAGCGGGAAAATTATCTCTTAAAAACCCTAATTGCGAAATTTGTTTCTTTGCTTGTTGTCTAGTGTCCGTGCCATCTCAAGATCTCAATCCCCGATCTATCGTCGAGTTCAATTCCGAATCCAAATCCTTCCAATCAAATTCCTCCGCAAAAGTCTATTTTGCCTCCCCCGAGGTCGATGGGCCGAATCTCGCTCGGCCCATCTTCCCCTCTTCCCCGGCCCATCTTCCCCTCTCTCCCCGGGCGCTCTCTCTCTCTCTCTCTCTCTCTCTCTCTCTCGCACTCTCCCATCTCTCCCCCCCTCCCGCTCGGCCTCGCCCGTACGCTGCTCGCGCGTGCGAGAGCCGCCCTGAGCGCCTCTCTCCCCGCTCCCCCGCTCAGCCTCGCCCGCACGCCACGCGCGCGTGCGCGTAAGCCGCCGCGCCGAGCGCCCCCTCCCTTTCCCCTCGCTCTGCCGCGCCTGCAGCCGCGCAGCCGCTCGTCCTCGCGAGCCAGCGTGTGCGCGCCCGCGCACGTGGTGGCCGACCGCCCGGTCGCCGCCGCCGCCAGCCTCTGCACGCGCCTGTCGCCAGTGTCGCCGCTCCGCTCCAAACCGCCCCGCCGTCATCGTCGTCGTCATCGCCCGGCCCCCGCCCCTCCGCGCGCAAGCCGCCAAGGGACGGAGGCAGCGCCCCTCCTCCCTCTGCCGCGTTGCCCCCGCTCCCCTCCTCCTTTTTCCCGAATCGGCAAAAGGGCAAGCCCCTTTCTCCCCCTCCTTTTTTTCCCCTTTTTCCCCCGCCGGCGTCATCCTCCCTGTCGCCGCTTTGGCCGCGACCGCCGAGCGCCAGCTCGCGCCTTGACCGCCCTAAGTCGGTTCCCAAACCGACATTGCCGCCCCCTTTAAACCCCAGCTCCTTCCCCTCCAATCTCCCTCGTTTTCGCCTCCTCGCCATAGCTGCCGCCCCCGTGCTCTGTTCGCCGTCGCCGTTTGTTGTTGCACGTGTCGAAGGAGTCGGCACGAGCAAGGACGCGGAAGGGGACTCCGGCCGCGCCCTCTCCTTCCTCTTCCCCGGCCCGAGGCCGGAGATATTACTCCCGCGCCGTCGGCCTCTCGTCACAGCGCCCCGACCCGCACGGTAGTGCCTCCCTCCGTTCTTCCTCCTCGCCCCATCTCCTCCCCCTAGCTTTCGGTAGTAGCTCGAGTAGACTACCCGTAGCTAGCCGGCGCCGCCCCGACCGTTGCCGTCGCTCGCCGCGTGCTCGCCGCCATCGCCGCTCGAGCTCCGTAGCACCCGCACGTCGCCAGCCTCGCTCGGCGTAGCTCCGTCCAATCCGACGCTAGCATCGGATTCCCGTGGTCGCGTGGATGCTCTCACCGCCGGGAATCGGTCTCTCGTGACCTCGTCGCCGTTTCCCTCTTCTCCCGCCGCCGGTTGCCGCCGCCGCAATCCGCCGCCGTCGAGCAACCTCCGGCGAATCCGAGCCGTTGGCTCGTCTCCCCTTGTCACGTGCAACCGCCCGGTGTGCACGCTTTTGCCCGTATCGCCGTGGTTCGCTCCGCCGCTCGCCGCCGCCGCCCGCCGTCCATTCGCGGCCGGGTCGTCGTCTACCTCCCGCCAGCCCACGTGGCCGCCACGTAGGCGCCACGTCGGCGCCAGCTCAGCCTAGACCGGATCGAGCCGACCCCGGTCAGTCCCTCCCCGTGCGCGCGTTCCACCGCGAGCCGTGAGGCTGCGCGTGGGCCCGCCGCACCTGCGTCCACCGCGGACCGCGCGCATGCACCGCGTCCCTTCCCCGCCCGCGCGCGTGCGTCGCGTGCTCCCTCCGCACGGTGAGCCGAGCCGCTAACAAGCGGGTCCCACCCGGGACCGCGCGTGATGAGCCCGGTCCACCGGCTCTCTCTCTCCTCCCTCCCGCGCGCGCGCGAGTTTGGGCCGCCTTGGGCCGGCCAGCCCATTTAGCTTGGCCAGACCGCTCCATTTCTCTTGGGCCGCGCCCTAGCCATCCGAGAAAAGTCTATATTCCCTCCCTCCCTTCTTTTCTTTTTCTTTTCCAAAAAAGGATTTAAATAAATCCTTTTTCCTTTAGACCAAAAATCCAATAATCTTAGAAATTCAATATCTTCCCAACCGTAAATCCGATTGACTCCGTTCAACTTCCAAAATTCCTCAAATCTCGAGATCTATCTAATGGCACGCTTAGAGGTCATTAATAGGGCTTTATTTTCGCCGTTTGTTGAGTTGTCCCGTTTCGCGTGTAGTTTCGGAGCCCGAAGACCCGCAGTGCGAGGATTTCGAGGATCAAGCTCCGGATCTCGAGCAAGGCAAGCCACCTTTGAACATCTTGAGCCTATATTTGAAATTTAATTATATTGCTTGCGAAATATTATGCATTGATAGGATCACACTTAATCTGTTGTCCCGTCTGCAAGGCAGATTGGCAGACCTACCTAATTTGTTGCATTTGATCCTTCCTTTGTTAATTGTTATACCATGTCCCCTTGTAACCACCCAGTTGCACCTCGATATTCGTGCACTCTGTGCAAGTATCGACGGTCGCCTTCAAACTTAAAATCTGAGAAACAACTTGGGTAAAACTGGAGTTTTACAAAAGACTTGGAAAACCCGACACCTGGGTCGGTGCTTGCGAACTAAATGAATTTCCAAAACCGCGGACCGGGGAACGTACCGGGTGTACGGTTTCCCGCTCTCGCACTTAAGGACCGATTCCCTTGGAATTTCATCCAAACATAAGACAAGTACGACCACATGGGTGGAATGGGACACCCCTGGCTGAGTAACTAGCTTATCAGGGGAGCCTTGATGCCGAGAGACATGTGGATTCGCCGGGGTGGTGTCGGGGAGGACCCCTGGGCTTCCTGGCACAGTATGGTCTGGGACCTAACCTGTTGTTGGTCTGGGACCCCTCTCGTCGGCATATGGTAAACCTGTATCGGCTTTCGAAATGCCTTGTCATGAAAGCTTGGAGGTCTCCCGACGTGGCTGATCCCCACGGGCTGGGTGATCCGGGTTAGTAATGTCGTGTGGGTAAAGTGTACCCCCTCTGCAGAGGTTAACAAACTGCTCGAACAGCCGTGCCCACGGTCATGGGCGGATGTGAGGTGATTCCTAGCGTAGTTTTGTTTGACTACTGCTTGTGAAATTGTTGTTGTGAAAAGGGGTTCGATGTTTGAAAAATCTGCAGCTGATGGGATCAGCTAGGCCCGGGTGGCCGTTTGAAAAGTTGTTGGCCCGGGTGGCCGTTTGAAAAGCTGTTGGCCGGGTGCCAACCTTGTTGCAATCCTAAAGACTGACACATTGCACATACTCCGACCGGACGAGACGCACTGTCTCATCCGTGTCGTTTGAGAAGCACTCACTTAGACTTTTTAGAAAAGAGTTCAAACAAAATCAATTACGAAAACAACAGCCTTTCCTTGAAGCCTGCATTAAACACTTATTTCCCCTGGCTTGCTGAGTACTCCCGTACTCACCCTTGCTCTATATAAATAATCCCCCCCCAGTTGCTGAAGAAGATGAAGTGGATCCTACTGACGAGGAGTTCTTCCAGGAGCAAGTCGGCTACGATGAGTTTTAGGGTTTCGGCCTAGTTCCCAAGTCGCGCCTGTGATGATTGGTCCAAGTCCTGGCTTCCGCTTTCCTTTTGTAATGCAGTTGTGAGCTCGGGATCTGTCCGCAGCCCAACATGACTGTACTTCTACTCTATAATAAAGAGACCTCTGTTGCTGTGATACTCTGTCTCCCTGTGATACCAGCACTGTTTCCTGGGACTGGTATCGATTAACAGGTTAATTTGG